GAAAGCTGGAGAACTTGGCCACTGACCACGGCTGTCTGCCGCCTTTCAGAGAGGAGCTGCTGCCTCCATCAGGGGTGTCGAGCAGTCCTGGTGAGTGAGGGCTTGGAGGTGGGAAGCTATGAGCTCTGGGAGCAAGGGGAATACACAGAGCACTGGCCTTGAAGAGAGAGAAGATTTTGTTCCTCTGTTTGTTCTGTGTGTTGTTTTCGTGTAGGAAGGGCTCCCCAGCCAGGTCTGGTGGCAACCACGAAAAGGTGACAGAGGCTAGAAGGAGCGCAATGAATCAAGCAAGTTCTTGAAGGAGACAGGAAGCTTCAGAAGAAAGAGAAGCGTCCTCTTCACTTTGACTTTTTAATGTGCATTTTTTTTAAATAGGCGTACATTTACAGAAACAGTGGCAAAGTGACAATATACTTCCCATATATTCCTCACCCAGTTTCCTGCCATTAATATCAGTACTTTACACTGGTGACAGAACTCCCGGCTTTATATAATTCATCATTTTTTCTACTGCTGTCCTCTCTATCCTAGGATCCCAGCCCTGCAGGACACCACATGAAAGCTAGTTGTCTCACCCTCTTAGTCTCCTCTGGGCTGAGACAATTTCTGGTTTCCCTTGCTCATCATGACCTTGACAGTTTTGAGAAGTAAAATAATGCCCTCTCAATTGGGTTTATCTGAGTTTTCTCATGACCCATCTTCTTCAAAGAACATGAACAGGAGTGAAGAAGCGGAGCAATTGCCAACCAAATGATGGGGTCCCGGGGTCCTTTTCCTTCTGTGCTGTCAAGTGGATGGAGCCAGTTTTGGCCTGATCCACAAGGAAGCTTTTCCCTGCACTGCCAGAATGATTCCATTTCACATTCATTAGAAACAGAAGAACTAACGACCAACTGGTGGCAGGGCCTCAGCCTGCGAGTAGCAGTTCAGGCTATTCTACCAGGACACTTGACAGTTTGTCTTCTATCCAGGGCCCTGTGAGTGAGGTTGACCCACTGGGTAGTGCAAAGATTGGCAGTTTGAACCCATAGTGAGAGGCACCATGGGAGAAAGACCTGGAAATTTGCTTTCAAAGTCACAGCCTTGCAAGCTCAATGGAGCACGGGTCTCCCCTGCACACATGGGTTGCCATGAATTGGAATCAACTCCACAGCAGCAAGTTGGGTTGATCTGGGTTGGGTTGGGTTGGGTTGAGTTGGTTTGGGTTGGGTTGAATTGGGTTGGGTTGGGTTGGGTTGGGTTGATCTGGGTTTGGTGAACAAGGTAGCATCTAAGTGAGCACCCAAGTGCATCTGTCAAGTCTGCTCAGGCAGGGACATTACTGCCACATGTTAATTAACTATCCTGGGAGCAAATATCAACCACATAGCCTCCCAGAGCCCTGTTTTATGGTATGGAATCCTTTTGTGACCGACTTGGCACAAAAAGATTAAAAGCTCTCTTTGGTGTTTGCTACTTACTTATTCCCTTCCCATTTTATAAGCTGCTATTAAAGCCGAAGGGCATGGGATGGAAGCTGCCTCGGTGCCTCACCACACAGTGAGGCGTTGTACTTTGCAGCTCCTTCCATAGTGCTGTCTGTAGCACAGCCCTGGAAGCCATTCCTAGGTGGCACTGGTTTCATGGCCCCGCTATCCAAAGCCTTCTTCCATAGTATGACAGAAAGTGAGGCCCAGGGCCCTGGGTGGTGCAGTCCAGGAAGCATTGGACCACTAACCGCAAGGTTCCAGTCCACTAGAGAAAGATGTGGCTTTTTGCTTCCACAGAGCTTTACAGCCTCCGGGCCCCTCCCCCAGGAGAGGGACTAGACTCAATGGCAGTTTGTTTTTTAATAGCTTACTTAGCATCCCCCCAGGCCAATTTTCATCCATCATTCAATCAGAACGGGCAGCAAGGTTCATTCCTGTGTGAGCTTGTCAAACAAGCTATAGCCAGGACTGCCCTGGACTGCCCTTCCTCGTGGGTTCTTTGAGCCGTCCTTCTCTCTTAAAGGTGAATTTTGGGCCCCCCCAGAAATATTGCAGCTGATTTCCCCCCTTCCTTTTAGTAAAGTGCTGTGGCTTCCATGACAAAGCCACGTGGCGTTAGCTGTAGGGCTTCCGGCTCCTGAGTGTGGCCATGCCCTAGGCTGGAGTGGGGCCCGAAGCCCTTTCTTTGCCCTCCTGGTTCTACTTCTCCAGCCCACTATCATCCTTGCCACCTAGGCTTGGAGCCCAGCTAGATAGGTACCTGGCGTTGTAGAGATTGACTTTGGATCCTTAAAAGTAAAGCTTTTTCTTAAATGGGCATACCGCTTGGGAGTCTTTTGTTTGTTTGCTTAATTCCCTGGCTTTTCTTCCATGGTGTCTCTGGGTGAGCCCTGAGCACATGAACTATCTGCGTGGAATTATCTCCCAGAGTCCCGCAGAGCAGAGCTCTACGTCATCGCTTGCAGTGCAGGGACTGTATAGGGGATTGCTTGACTTCTCCTCCTGGTGGCTTCTTCCAGTGTGTTCGGGCTGGGGGAAAGGAAGGGGTGGTTGGGTCGCCTCCCCCAGGAAGGGGGAAAAATGATTTGTGCCTTTATGAGCACCAGCCTAGGACGGAAAGCCAGCCGGCCTCTCCCAGGCATCAGTGCATTTGGGCAACAGCTTCCCCAAGACATCGGCAAGACGGAGGACCAGACCGAGGGAACCGCATGGCCAATTTCTCACCAAACTTAAAGCCAGCAGCCCACATGTGTTGGAAACACGATCAGTTGGGCACACAGGTCCCAAAGGAGCCTGGGAATCCCAGCATTGCACAGCCTAGGGCACCAATTGGGTCAATGCGAGATGCAGGGGAGGGAGAGGGTCCCCATCAGCACCATGGCCCTCGACCCAGTATGTGGGGGCCTGAGCCTGAGCCACACACTCAGGTCTAGCCAGAAGTGCCTCCAACTGGATGCACCATCCCTTCCAGGAGAGCAGAGCCCACAGTCTGAGCGGGACTCTTGCTCTGCTTTGGCGCTGGGCCAGGGGACCCTCACTCATAGCGTGTCTTTTTATTCATCAGAGTGAAAGCCTGACCCCGGTGCCCAAGCCCAAAGCTTGGCGTTCATCCTCAGCCTCGCATCCCTAGGCTCCCAGGACCCTTTCTCTCCCTTTCTCAATACTCCAGCCACATGCACCGCACTCTGTGGTGCTCCCCGAGGGTGTGTTACCTCGCCCGGTGCGAGGATGGAGAGGGGTGGGAAGGTGTCCGTGGCGGTAGAAGGGGACATGGACTGGTCGCAGCGCTAACCCCGGGGCTGTCACGATGCCCACCTGCTGCCTCCCTCTCCAGAAGCACTTCTCCCAACGCAACTGTTCTGATTCCTTACGGGCCAAGAAGGCTACGGGTGGTGGTGGTTCCTGTTAGAATTCTCACCTTCCCTGTGGAAGACCCCAGCTCAATTCCAGGCCAGTGCGCCCCCAGTGCAGCCGCCAACCTGTGCGTGTTGCTGTGACAGGAAACGGAATGTTTTCCACCAGAGCCTCCCGGCGGAGATAGACCAGCAAGAAAGGCCTGGCACCCTGCTTCCCCAAAGTCAGCAGAGGGAAACACGACGGGTCACAGTGGCCCAGTCCCACTGTGCAAGTCCAGAGTGCCGAACCACAAACGACAAGGCAGGGCCAAAGGGTACCCTTCCTATATAACAGTGGAGAGCACTGCTCCCACCCGCCTCCCAGCCGGGAACCCCAGACCCTCACTGCATCCTTGCGTGTGCTCACACACCTACTGGAACAGCCAACCCTGCACACACACCCCAGGGGGGGGTCCCTCAAGTCCACCGCAGGCCATCCCTCCACATGTCCAGAGTCACTGCCAGGACCTGGAGCAGAGGACCATGCAGCCTAAGGAGCCAGACTCGGACATAAGGGTGCCTCTGTTGAGGGAGGGGGGTGGGTCACAGAAACTTGAGGCCTGGGCATTGGCCCAGAGCCCACCCACTCACGCGTCCAGCCGGCCACGACACTGGAGGACTGTGACTCACGGTCCTGGCAAGCCCTGGTACGGGTTCAGCTGGTGGGGGAGGGGGGGGCGGTCCTGGCAGGAAGCGTGCTTCTCAGACATCAAGTTCAAGACTTTGGAGTCCTCTGCCCCTCTGGGTTGCGTACCTCAGCTTTCCCTCCTGTGAAATGGGGTGTCCATGAGACGTTCATATTCGATGACTTCCGAGGTTTCTTGTCGGGTGTTTTATAAGGATCCCGCTCACAGAGGAAGCATGCCCCCCCACCCCTGTGGGTGGGGGAGGGGTGTCAGCTGGTCAAGGGAGGGATCTAGTGCACACACATGTTGGGGGGCGGGGCTCAGCTACATCATCTGCTGCCTGATGTGAGTTCTGCGGCCTTCATTGGCCCAAGCGTGCGTCCTCCGTGTGATGATGGTTTCTTTTCCTACTGCGCTAGAGTCGTATGTAAAACACAGGGGCGTTTAGAGGAAAATTGTGACATACGCGTCTATGTAACTGCCACCCAAGTCAAAAGCTAGACCACTGACGGCTCCCTAGGAGCCCACCCACCCCCAAATAGTCTTCCCTGATGCCTCCTTCCCCCACGAGGTCACCAATCACTGGACATTATGAGAATCGTGTTTTTTGTTTTCTTTCATCGTTTCTAGGTCCCTTATGGACAGTGTGGTCATCACTTTAGTTGAGCTATAAGGAATCATATCATGTGTTCTCGGGGGTGGCGGGGGCTGCTTGTTTTCTTTAGCGTGGTGAGATGCGTGATCTCTCCAGGATTGTAGCCAAATGCTACTTGGCTGTCCATAAAACATCCCTTCTACTGCTAGCCGGTCATGGTTTCTTCTCAACTAGTTCTTTGTACATGAGGTGATTTCCCCTGCCCCCTCAGTGGCTGCCACGACCACCAGATGTTTGGGGAGGGGTGTAGACCAAGGGTGGCCCCAAATTCCTTTTTAAAGTGGGCATTCAGCCTGCAAGGCCGGCGTTAGCCCTGGCAGCCAGGATTAATGCCAGCATCCCTTGTGTCTTGCAGCTTGCTGGGATTGCGGTCCTTGCCATTGGACTATGGCTCCGATTCGACTCCCAGACCAAGAGCATCTTCGAGCAGGAAGCGAACCATACCAGATTCTACACAGGTGAGTGGGGGAGCCGGGGAGAATGAGGCGCCTCCTGCAGGGCTGGAGCCTCCTTGTCAGGGACTGGGGCTTGTGAAAGGCTTTGGCTTTTGCCATGTGGGCCAGCCCCATCCCTTTCAAGCCAGGCCTTTGGGTAGTTGTGCCCGGGATTTTGCACCCAACCGATGTGGTTTCTGTTCATGTTGGCCGAGTCTGGCATGTCTGCCATTCTCTGATGTGCAGGTGGCCCTGTGCAAGTCGCTGCCGTCCTGGGAGCTGAAGGGACTTAGGTTCTCATGTCGTATGTGTCTCCTAAGTCTGTGTCATTTCCCTGGCTCCAAAGAGTTTATCCCGAGGGTCACTGTGTCTGAGAAGGGACAGGGGTGACTCTCCTCCCCCACTGCTCAGCTAGAAACTCTGAGACCCAGAAGGTGCGGCTCCTGAAGAATTGTCGTGTGTCCCTAATGGACTGGGTGACACCAATGGCAAAGCACTTGGCTTCTGATCCGAAAGACTGCCGAGAGGCACCTCTGAGGAAAGGGCCGGCCATTTGCTTCCGAAACATCCTCGCCAGGAACCCCTCTGGGGCCTGACAGGTCTCTGTACTTGTCGGTCACTGAATTGGAACCAGTCTGACGCCAGCTGCTTTGGTTTGGGGGTGGTTGGGGACCGTCTGAACTCAAGTCGACTCTGACCACTCAGGTCCTCCCTGAGGTCTTGGTTCCCCCTCGTTCGGTCACTCTGGCTGCCCACTCCCCACATCAACAGCGTCCCTGACTGGAGTCCGGCATCCGGGTGCCTGTCCGCGTGACCTCCCGGTCCTGAGTAAATGACCAGTCCTTGGGCTCCATTGCCCGCCCAGCCTGCGGGGTCGGAAACATCGCCTTTGCAGGAAACAAGACGCCCCCTATTTTTAGGGCGACGCTGACATGTCATCAGGCCCAAAGTGCCAGTGTGGTCACTTCCTCCACACCCACCAAAGGAGTTATTTTTACAAAGGACACAGAGAAAGCCTTCTGAAAAGGGGGTTATCTCCCGGGCTGGCCGGGTCTACCCCCCACCCCCACCTCCGGAGGGACTCTGAAAACAGCCCGTTGGGTTGTTAAGCACCTGAGCCTTGTGGATTTCTTTTTTCCTGGCTCGATGGCCTTTTTTGTGGCTTCCAGTTGAGTTTCTGCTTGTGTTTTTATTTAGGGTGTGTCTCCCCATTGTCAGACAGAAAGTGAGGGAGAGAAAAAGACCATATGTGTGTGTTTTCAAAATCCATCGTTTTTCAGGAGCAGGTTTCCATAGTGCCCTGACTTGTGTGTGACAACAGAGCGGCATGCTGCTCGGCGGCGCCCAGCCATGGGGCTGGGAAGGGCTATTTAGACGGGGTTTGGGGGGACAGGGTGCTGAGGGGAGGCTCGAAGGAGTGGAGAGCTCCTATGGGGGAGGGCAAGTCAGCTGCAGGAACACAGACTCGGGAGGCATGTGTTTCCAGGGGGGCTTTTGTAGCTGAGCTCCCCGTCCGCTCCCAGCATGCGTCCCCGAAGGGGTGCTCTGCTAGCCTCTGTCCTCTAGCCTCTGCAGGTGTGGGGTGCCATGCCTGGTCCTTCTGCCCCCTCCCCCTCCTTGTTTGTGTGGTCTGGCACCCCTGAGCGAGCTGTCCCTAGTTAGCGGTGGGAGGGATAACACCAGGAAGCTAATGGAATGAGGAGGAGACTAGCTTCCTGAACCCTCCTGGGGTGCCAGGCTCTGAGGCAAACACGTGGGGGTAGAGCTGAAACCTCTCCCCCCAGTCTTCAAGGCCCTGGGGTGCTGCCCACGTCAGAGGAGAAGACTGAGGCTCGGGTGGTCAAGGTCACTTGGCCATGCCCATGCCCCTGAAGGTGGGGCTGGGATTTGAACCCAGACCTGTGCAAGCCTCTTCTTGGGTTATCTGGGCTAGGTCGAAGGAGGTTCCCTGTCCAGGGATAGACAACTTCTCCAGGGACCCAGCAGGCTCTTCCCGGGCAGCTCTCTTGGTATTGTGACTTCAGGCAAATGCCCACCCTCAGAAAAGCGCCCGCAGCCAGGAGGCCCCGGGTGGCAGTGGCAGGTGGGGAGGGCCACAGGGGACAGGAGAGTGAATGGGTGACGGGTAGAGGATGCCCAGGCCTGCTTCTGGGAACCTCACAGAATTGGGTCTCCCAAGGCATTCCATGGGCCCCAGGTGGGCAGAGTCCTGCCGGGAGTGACCAGGAAGATGCCTCGGGGGGCATGAACCCAAAGTGACACGGCAGTTGCTACAGGGTCCTTGGTGGCTACTGGCCCCCTAGCTCAGCCACAGGAGCAGGGGCCCTCCAGGCTGGGAGCCCACGGACAGAGAGGGACACAACTGACGCGAGAATGGCCCAGCGAGCTGAGCGGCTGTTGGCACCTGCCGGCACCTCGGTCCGTGCTTTGGGGCGGGAATCGTGTGGTCCCTGGGCCAAGAGGCAAGAAGTCTTTGCCCCGGGAGCCCTTCTCCCTGAGGCTGTGAGACCAGCCTCTTCTGGCAGATGAGCTTGAGTGCCAGTTAGCTCCGGCCCTGGTCCCCAAGTCAGGGGGTAGCTGTCGCTTGCACTGGGTACCATCTGCCTGCAGATCATCCCCCAGGCTGGCCTGACCACAAAGAAGCTGGCAGCCTGGGGGGAAAAATTCAGGGGTGCCGATCTATTCTCTAGCAGGGCGGTGGCTTTCAAAGGAGGGAACAATTATGTAACCAGGCAGAGAAGCAAGTGAAAACTGAAACTTTTCCGGTGTTTACGACACCGATCGGGAGTTCAGAATGGCTGGCGGCCTTATATGGGCCTTTTCTCCCATCCAGGCGGGAGAGTCAGCCCAGCCCCACAGCAGGAGCAGCCAGAGCCCCAGACTGCAGACATGTTGGGGAGCTGCGCTGTCTTGGTGCTGGGCCACCAGCCCTTCTTAACTCTTGGTGGAACTTCCAGAACGAGGGCCGCAGAACATAGGCATCTGGGGCTCCCACCAGAGGCTGTGTTCTGCACACCGACCCTCGGACCCGTCCGCTTTCTCATGACAAGAGCAGGCTGGGCCAGTTGGGTGGGTTGCTCCAGGTCTCAGTCCCCATCCTGAAACTGGCAGGGCTTCCCGCCCACACCCTGAGAATGCCCCAGCTTGCTTGCGGAAAACCCCCAGCTGCCCCGCTCATTCCTGAAAACGGCTGTGGGAAGGAGGGAGGGAGGGAGTGCGGGAGAGCCCTGTGGGGCGGAACCCCTGGCCACTTTGCAACAATAAACTGGCATGGAGCTCGGAAGTCTCTTCTCCTCCTCCCTCTGAGGGGGCGGGGCTGCTGGGAGCGGGCACCTGGGCTGAGGTGGTGACAGAGGCTGGACTGGCCACTACCTGAGCCGGACGCAGAGCCCTGCTCTGCCGGTGAAAGAGACGCTTCCGCTTCCGGTGACAGGGCGCCCAGGCAGAGGCTGCTACCCCGACGTCTGTCGTGTTGTTTTGTTTTCAGCTTGAAAGGGCAGCATGAACAGCCCTTGAGCAGTAATGAATGCAGTCATCCAAGAGAAAGCTCCTCCACCAGAGGCTTTTTCCATGACTCAGATGGAAAGCTTAGCACTCCCTTGTCTAGAAAGGGGACTCGTTTCTCACCACTGGCCTTCCTGGTGAGCTTGGGCGCTGGCCCCTCCAAGGGGAAGCACGTGGACAGCCCTTTTGAAAAGCAGCCGCAAGCCCTGCAGAGACTGACTCCATGGGGTCCTGAAGGTGCTTTCAGAGGAGCCCCACCCTTAGCTGCTTGGATCACCCCCATCAACAGCTGCCGGAGGATGGGAGAATACAGTTGGGGACCCTCCAGATGTGCAGCTGCCTACACAGTATTTAAAGACCTGTTACCTTAAGAGCCCATTCTGCAGAGCCTTGAAATTTGTATCCCTTTTAGAACCCATTAGGAAAAGCTCTCTCTCACTCTCTCTCTCTCCATGGGAAATGCCTTTTCCTGTAGTTAACCTCCATTGCTGCTGGGCCTTAGAGTAAACATGCCTGTCTGCCGAATCCCCACTGTCTTATTTCTGTGCTCATGAATCCCTTTGATCTCTTAATGTGCCCTCTGTCCTCAGCCCAGATGCAGGCTCAATGGCAGGGCCTCACCCAGCTGCTCCGGCCTGCCAGTCCTCCACTGTTTCGCCCTGGTGGGATGGGGGGACTCTGAGCAGGCATGGCACACACATGGGGCTACCCAGCCCTCCCTACTCCCCAGCCCAGCCCCCTGGGGTACAACTGCCCAGGAGGATGGGCCTGGACTCCAGGACAAGATGCATTTGTCACCTTGCCCAGTCTGGGCTGGGCGTGCACGGGAACAATGCCCATATTCACATACCACGCTGGGGCTTGCCAGGAAGCCCACGTGACCTGACATCACAGCAGATGCAGGGGGGAAGAGGGGAGAGGCACAAGCGGGCCCTTGTGTGTGAGCTGCTCAGGGCCGCCTGCACAGAGCTTCAGGGCCAGCTGCATGCTGGGTAGCCTGCCGAGCCGCAGCCCCACACGGAGGGCACCGATGGGAGACCGTGAGGTCACTGCGTCCCTGCAGAGGTCTCTGCTTGCAGTGGCCTGTTGTGTATGATGGGGAAACGTCACGGTCGCCCTGGTTTAAGCTCTGACTAGACGCCGGGAAGCCTCTGTGGTCCCATTTTGAGGGCAGCAGGGAGGGAACGGCAAGTGAGTGAGCAGTCAGCCCTGTGACTGAGGAAACACTGCCCGTAGCCCTGGTGACACAGTGCAGAGCGAGTGGGCCACCTCACCTCAAGGTCGACAGTTTGAAACCACCAGCCGCTCTACGGGAGAAAGATGAGGCTTTCTACTCCCATATAGAGTTGGTCTCAGAAGCCCATAGGGGCTGTTCTACTCTGGCCTGTATAGGGTCAAGGCTGCGTGGCAGGAAGTGGGGTTTCCTGTTTGGGCCTCTCTATCACGAGCCTTGGCAGGTGTTGACAGGTGTCAGCAAGTCAGTGCGGCCCCATGGCAGCCCCAGGTGTGCAGGGTGGAACTGCACCCCCAATGAGGTCACTGATCTATCTTCTGAGGCACCGCTGGGTGGGTCTGAGCCTCAAACCTGTCAGCTCGTGGCTGAGCTTAACCTTTGCCAAAGGATTAGCCAAGATCAACAAGATAAGTGTTCTAAAGGCCAAACCACAGTTCCAACTCAGAGATCCTACACGGGGTTTCCAGGACTGCAAGTCTTCACGGGAACGCACAGCTTCATCTGTCTCTCGCGGGACACAGCTGGCGGGTCTGAGCCTCCCACCTTGTGGTTAGCAGCCTAACCTGCCGCACTGCCGGGGATCCTGAGGGTTAACTATGATGAGCCTTTCGTGGGCGCTGGGGGATTCTGCCCCATAGTCCTCAAGAAGGCCCTGTGGTGAGGGAGGTGTGGCTGCCAGCCCCGCTGTGCACAGGGAGATAGAGGGGCTCGCACGGAGTCACGGACTGAGCCTTCGACCTTCAGGGCTGGTGTTGTCCCACGGGACCGCCGCCCCTCCCAGAGCTGAATACGACAGGGCAAGGACCCCATGGAACTTCTGCCAGTTTCCTCGTGGAGCCTACTGGAGAGGAGGGCAGAGGGGCACAAGGGGGGTGCCTGCAGAACAGGCCCTCTGGGTTCCCCCGGGAGGGTCATGGAATGAACAGGGCCAGGGCCACAGCCAGGACTTAGCACAATGTTGGGCCTCTGCTCCCTCACCAATCAGTCATTTGATTTGAGGACTTAGTAACATGCCACTCACCCTCCCCTAGCAGTGAGGGCCCTTGGGCGTGACTGCACAGGCCTAACTACATGGGTGGGGCACCCTTCTGGGAACCAGGGAGAACTGGCAAACTCCAGACCTGGATGTCTGAGGGTGCTCAGCCTTTTCCTGTAAAAACTGCCCTGGCCCCCTCTCCGGGGAAGCAGAGGCCAGCAGGAGGCTCAGCAAAGCCGAGTGTGGAGGCCGACTGGTTGTAATCGCCTTGTGTGGAGTTGATCCTGCTGGAAACAGCTAAGGAACTGGACTAGCTTGAGTCCTGTGTGGAATCTGGAGGCTCCTGTGGATATTCTGAGTCCTGGAGTGTGGTGGAGGGTAATGGGCCCCTCCCAGAAAAGCTGAAGGGGAGGTCGGAGCAAAGGGAGTGGGAAGGTAACAGAATCACATACATGAGAAGAGGCAGGAAATGTCTGGGTCCCTGAGCTAATGTGTGTGTGTGTGTGTGTGTGTGTGTGTGTTTCCTTTGCTCTCTTCCCTCAGGAGTTTATATTCTGATTGGAGCCGGGGCCCTCATGATGCTTGTGGGTTTCTTGGGCTGCTGTGGAGCCGTGCAAGAGTCCCAGTGCATGCTGGGATTGGTGAGTATCGCTTTGGGTCCCGTACCATCACTCTGACTCCCACTCCTCCAGCCTAATCTCGGCAGACCCTGCTCCTTAGGGCAGGTGGGAGGGGACCACAGGGTAGGGGACAGAGAAGAGGTACCCAAAGGACTTGAGTTAGCTTCTTCTCCACTTGGGGTTCTGCCCAGGCCCGTCTGCCACTTCCCAGAGTCAGCTCATGCCAGGCCCTGGCTTTTCCCCTTCTCGGGGACCACCTTGGCTTTTGTGCCCTGAATGCACTGGTGCTTTGTACCTTCTCCTCTTATTTCAAAGGGGACCTGATTTCCTCCCCGACAACCCGCCAAGTTGGTCATCATGGTTTTGTGAGTGAGCGACGATGTAATTGCCCCAAACCAACACATCCTGAAGACTAGTGTCGGGGCTGGGTTGTGCCCATTTCTTTCCTCCTCCAACCTCCCATTTCCTGACCTTGGGCTCGCCCTTCATGGGCTGGAAAGCTCCCCTGTCCCTTTAGGTTGGTCCTTTGTGCCACAGAGAGTTGCCACTCTTCCTTATCCCAAGATGCCCTCTGGCTCCATGGCCCCTCACACCCCTCACGCCGCACTGACATCCCAGGGCTTGATTTCCCACCAGCTGGCTGGGATTTGTCCTCACGCCTGCCCCCTCTCTGCCTTCCAGTTCTTTTGCTTCCTCTTGGTGATATTTGCCCTTGAAATCGCGGCGGCCATCTGGGGATTCGCCCACAAACAGGAGGTATGTTCTTCCTACTGGCTTTTCCAATCCTGCCATGATGTGGGGGTAGGGAGAAGGAGGGTCACCTAGTCATTCCGCTTGGCTTTCCATCCTAGACCCTCCCCCTGGCTCCCCACATTCCCTCGGGCCACCAGGGTGCATGCTGCTTGAGGGCAGAGAACATGAGCATTTGCCACCACCGGTGACTGTTAGGCCACCACTGCGGGTTTGCGTCCCTCCGTGGTGTCTGGCACATACCCACTCCTCAGGGAATGCTTGCTCGGTTTGGGAATGGAATGTGCGTGTGCGCACTTCTGCATGGAAAGGGGAGAGGCGTCTGCAAAATGTCATAGAAGAGATTTGCATCCAGAAGTCCCATGAGGTTTGAAAAGACCTGGGCAGGAGGCTCTCCCTGGCTTCCTAGAAGAGTGAGCCTTGGCCTAAGCCTTAACTAGGTCGGAGGATTCAGAAGGCAAGTTGGTGGGAAGAAGGATTTCCAGGCAAAGGAGAGCTCAGAGGACAGCTAAGTCCCGGCTTCCCTGGGGAGCTGCTAAAGAGCTTTGAGCCAGGATGGGCCATGACAGAGCAGAATTTTCCAAAGGGCCATCTTGTCATGTTTAGCGGGAAGGGGAAGACAGGAAGTATACTGGATGTGGGGATTCTGTTTGGGTGTGATTTTTTTTAAATGATTTCATAACATAAGCATTGAAAGCTATGGTGACCATGGACAAAGGAAGGAACCATTTCAAAAGAGGCTAAAGGGAAAGAGCTGAGTGTTGCCCAATTAATAGGATATGGAAGTCGAGGGAACAGGCAAGCATTCAACTGGGAATGCACCTAAGTGCCAAAGATAACCATTGCCACCCATAGCTCACTTGTATGCCACATTCCATGCCCTGGAGGCATTAACCAAAAGCAAGGCTCCAGGAATTGACAGCTACCAATTGAAATGGTTCACCAAGCTGCCGCAGCCCTGGAAGCACTCACTAGTCTATGCCAAGAAATTTGGAAGATAACTACCTATCTCACCGAATTGGTGCCCGTTCCAAAGAAAGGCAATCCAACAGAATGCAGCAATTATCAAACAGTACCACTAATATGACATGCAAATAAGATTTTGCCGCTGAAGATAATGCCAAAAGGCTGTAGCAGTCCATTGACAGGGAGCGGCCAGAAATTCAAGCTGAATTTAGAAGAAGATGTGGCAAGAATAAGATTGGTAATGATAGATGGTTCTGGGCTGAAAGCAAAGAATACCAGAAAGCTATGTTATTTGTGTTTCATCGACTATGTAAAGGAATTCAGCTGTGTGGATGCCGTTGCAAAGTATGGGAATTTTTCACTGTGCTCATGCAGAACATGTACGTAGACCAAGAGGAGGCAGTCATCAAACAAAACAAGGGAAAACTGCATGTTTTAAAATCAGGAAAGGTGTGCATCCGAGTTGTATCTTTTTCACCATACTCAGTGTCCAAACCATGTGTTGAGCAATTAACCCTAGAAGCTGGACTAGATGACGAAGAATAGGGTGTCAGGATTGGAGGCAGACTTAATAACAACCTGTGATACGCAGATGATACAGCTCTCTTGCTGAAAGCCAGGATGACTGGAAGAACTTACTGCTGAAAATCCAAGACTACAATCTTCTGTATGGATTGCAACTCAGCGTAAAGAACGCCAACGTCCCCACAAGGGATCCAATGAACAAAGATGATAAACAGTGTAAAGACTGACGTTGTCAAGGATTTCATTTTACTTGAATTCACAATCAACACTCATGGAAGCAACAGTCAAGGAATCAAATGATGTACCGCACTGGGCAAGTCCATTGTATGAGACCTCTTTAAAGTGTTCCAGACAAAGATGTCACTTTGAGGACTAAGGTGCTCTTGACCCAAACCATGTGTGTTAGTCTGGGTAGACTAGAGAAACAAATGCATAGACACTCATGTGTATAAGGAAAAGTTTTATATACCAGAGCAATCAAATATTGAGAAAACCTCCCAGCCCAGTCCAGATCAAGCCTATACATCCGATATTAGCCCAGATGTCCAATACCAATCTATAAATTCCTCTTCAGACTCAACACATACAATGACGCCGAATGCAAGAAGATCACAGGCCAGTGGGTGAAAAGTCTTGTGGATCCAGTGGTGGTAGAAGCATCTCAGCACTGGCGTGGGTCTCCATGTGGCTCCCCCAGCTCCAGGGCTCTGGCTCTCCCAGCATAACTCCATGTGGCTTGTCAACAGGAATGTCTCCCAGAGAGTGTGTGGGTGTCCCACCTTCAGCAAGCTATTTTTCTCTGTAGCGGCTCCAAATGAGGTCATTAAGCTGTGACCTGATTGACAGGCTAAACTCCACCCCTTCACTCTTCAACTTAATAGTCTCAAGTTGACAACAGATTATGGAACTAGCACACCATGGTGTTTTCAGTTGCCTCATATGTGAGTGAAAACTGGACAATGAATAAGAAAGGTGAAAGAAAAGCTGATGCATTTGAATCCTTGTGCTGACAAAGACTATTGAAAGTACCATGGCCTGCCAGAAAAACAGACAGATCCTTCTTGGAAGAAAGACAGCCCGAGTGCTCCTTAGAAGTGAGGATGGTGAGATTGTGTCTCCCCACTTTGGTCATGTTATCAGGAGAGACCAGTCCCTGGAAGAGGACATGATGCTTGGTTAAGTAGACAGTCATCAAAAAAGAGGAAGCCTCCCCCTTCCCTACAAAAGAATTCACTTCAGAGGACAGCACTGAAGCTACAGCTCAAGGAGATGGGCATGTCTGATCAGAGCACACAGGAGCAAATGAAGGGAGAGGAAGAAAGAATGGAATACATCCTGGCCCACCACGCCCTGAGGACAATATTCCTGCTCAGAGCAGTTAAAGCTCAGAGAGGGCCATATGGCCAGCCCCACTATGAGACACAACATCCCTCACTGACCCATAGCACTAAGGGGACAACACTGAAGACCCAATTCAAGAATTGTGCCTCATCTGACCCCACCACACTGAGGTGAAACACTAAGGGGGACAGAACAACGAAGTCCCCAGGGAGCACCAAAAATAGACTTTGAGGCCAAGGCATGGCTCGACCGGAAAAACACTCCTAAAGGTCAACAAAAAGACCTTGAACTATTTACAGGCTTTTCTTTCTTTCTTTTTTTTCCATTGTTACTTTGTTGTTGTTATTTTCTTTTGCTGCTTTATTTTGCTCTGTCTTGTTTTGTGCATATTATTATCTCTGCAGGTCTATCTAGATAAGATAGATGGGATAAACAAGCTGAGGAGAAAACAACGGGACTAATGGTTCCAGGGGGACATGAGAGAGGGGGAGGAGGAGGAAAGGAAGTGGGTATTAACAAACCCAGGGACAAGGGAACAACAAGTGATCCAAAATCGATGGTGAGGAGGGTGTAAGAGGCCTGGTAGG